ATCAACACAGAAAGTAAGTTAAAGTATAATTTTATTTTGTGTTTCATTTATCACAACACATTTAATTTTGAGCCAAGACAAAGAATTAGTTTTTGTCGTAATTTATTTGATAATTATTTGATACATTGGTTGTGAGTTTTAGTTTGTTGTGATATGTTCTCAATTGTGAAATTAAATATAATGCTTATGTTTAGTTGCTTACTTTCTCTATAATATTAGCAATTAACATTTGAAATTGATAATCCATAAATATGAAATGGATAAGAGTTGGGTGGATTTGTCAATGGTAAGCGACGAATATCGAAATGGTGTCGAAACTGAAGCAAGGGAAGCAGAGAGAGAAGCATCATATCAGAAAAAATGTGAAGACTTTTAAAATTAACTTCAAGTTATGATGTAGATGATACGACAAAAACAACCCCAGAGTCCACCATCTTAGGTGTTATTATTGTTTATTCTAGTTAACAATGTTGAACTACATTATATTTTACGTTAAAGTAAACTTTGATTTATTATTATGGATTTCAAGTTTCTTGTTATGGATTTTAAGTTTGTTGTTATGCATGTCAAGTTTATTGGATAATCCTACAAGTTAAAATTTTAAATTTGGGTAACAAAAGAGTAGAAAACAACATTTGAAAAATTATTTTTAATTCGCGGTGTTTGTATAAAACAACGCCACTAAATACATAGTCAATATCGTCGTTTTTGAAAAACGCCACAGATCTAGATCTTTAGTGGCGTTTATATAGAAAACGCCACTATATATGTAGTCAATAGCGGCATTTTACATTCACAAACGTCACTATATGACATAAAATTTAGTGGTATTTTTTGGAACAAACGCCACTATATGCCAGAACAGTTAGCGGCTTTTTGGGATAAAATGCCACAAAAGAAAAGATAAATAGCGACGTTTGTAAAAAAACGCCGTTAAATATCATAACCTTTAGCGACAAACGACAAACGCCGCTACCTTTTGATATTTTGGTTAGTGGCACTTTTTGCGCCGTTTGTTTTTGAACCACAAAGGTTTTTAGCAGCACTTAAAAACGCCGTTATATGACTAAAAACGCCACGAAAAACCTGTTTTGCTGTAGTGACTTTACCTTTAAGCCACCGTTAATGAGCCACCGGTGAGGTCATCGATGAGCCACCGATGATGTCGTCGGTGAGCCACCGTCCTCGGTGAGAGAGTGAACCTGTCAAGGGTGAGGGTGAGTGGGATTGTAATTTGAGGATTAAGGTTTAGGATATAATTTGGGAATTTAGGGTTTGAATCTAAAATTTAAGGGTATAATTTAGACTTTTAAACTTATTTTTTTTATTTTAATCATATTTTATATTAAAATATTAATAAAATTGGCACATCATATGAAAATAATAATAAAATAATCTATGTCATCGTTAAGTGACCAAAAAAATCAATCTATAAAGTCCAGTGAGTAAATTGAAAATTTTGAAAGTACAATAAGTGAAATAGGAGAGAGAGTAAAGTTTAGTGATGAATGGTATAATCTGACACTACTTTAATTATAAATTACCATATAAAATTATTTTAACTTTTAGGCTATTTTTTTAATTTTTTTCCATTAATATTCAAAAGAAATTGAATTTAATGATAAAAAATATAAATTTTTTTTTAAAATTTAAACATTTTTGTCTATAAATATAAATATATATATATATATATTTAATAATTAAAAAATTAAAAAAATATTATTTTATAATATTTTAGGCTATTTAAAAAAGTTGATGATATGTAAATTAATTTTTAAAATGCTTTAACCTTTTTCCATATTAATACATAAATTTATTATTTTTTTTCAATATTGATATTCTTTTATAACGGTTTCATATTTACATAGATACTCAGTTAAACAATTTGTTTTTTTTGGGAAAAATGGTCACTTTTGCCCTTGTAGTAGACCTAATTTATCATTTTCGCCCCTATCATATTTTCGCATCAATTTAGCTCTCTAAATTACTTAATTGCATTATTATATATCCTATCCTACACTTAAAACCCTAAATTGAGGGTTTAAAGTTAAAAATTAAGGTTGAAGGTTAGGGTTTAAAGGTTATGAGATTATGATTTAGGGTTTGTGATTATCAATTTAGGGTTTTAAATTAGGAGTATGATATAGAATGATGCAATTAAACAACTTTAAATACTAAATTGATGTGGAAATACGATAAGAGCGAAAATGATAAATTGAGCCTACTAGAAGAGTAAAAGTTACTCTTTTGCCTTTTTTTCACATTTTTTTCTGTAATAATTTATAATAATAAGTATCTAATAATACATTTACTTATAGTTTTTCGCAATTGAACGTATTCGATTAACACTAACTGCAATCAAACTCTTAAATAATACTAAGTATATATAAGAATATTATTTAATGTATTATATAAATATGGTGAGAAAAATAAACCAAAAGATATATGGTGAGAAAAAAAACTATGAATAGATGAATATATTAGAATTAATAGAATGTTATCAAACTATTTAATAAATTAAACACGATTATTAAAGAAAATATACAAAATTAATAATCGGATCGTCTCTAAAAATTTTTTGAAACTTCTTCAGAAGCAATAAAATTAAATCTACCATCAACCAGTTCGTTTGGTAGGATAAGCATTAAGTTCTTTAGGCAAGATCAGGAATTCGAATCATAACAATTACAATTGGAGCATATTAGATTGGGACAATCGTCGCCATATGAATTAACCAGTTAATAGATTGAATGTCGATTGTTAATTAAAAAAATGAAATTAAACCAAAACTAAACGGAGAAAATAATTGAATGACAAAAAGACCACTAGTTTTATATATACAATTAAATAAATAATTCAATTTATATTGAATTTTATGTTTATATATACAATTAAATATAGTAGTTGGACTATCAAAACAAAATTAGAAAAATAGATGAGATACCAAATAGACAATTTACGCAAAGAATTAGTAAGACGAGAGTGGTGATTAGAAAGTCAGCATAATCAACAAACGTTTCTTCCCATGTACCTAATGGTTCTCAACATGTCTGTCTCTGTGTCCATCAACAGTGGAGTCTTCATTCAGTTTGTGCCCTACTTTTGATTGATGTGTTGCTCTGTTGTAAGTTGGACATCTTCCAAATCTTTCTCATACACTATCCCAACCCCACATTTCTTCACCCCAACACCTTTACCAAGAGCAACATATTTGAATGACAATTCAAGTTCATCGCATTCCTGATTTGAGCAATCCGGTGTTGATGTATTCTCGGTTTCACTTTCACCACATTCATTCTCCAAGTAATATGGATATAACACGTCACGCCCCCAGTAACGAAGAAAAAGGTGGTCTTTTTTTATGGGCTGATTATATCCTTTCCCTAAAACAATCCTAACGTTAGCAAGACGTCGAGGTTCTCCACAACGGATAACAGCATTACACCAGATTCGCTCATTCACCGAAGAATCACCACCGGCAAAAATGCAGCAGAAAGCAACTCCCATCCATCGACTATCATTCCGAATATTGAGAGGCAGTGGCATCTTGATTGAAGAGTCGACTCTTTGATGGCTGAACCATTCTGGGATTTCACGTCCAGGTATAATAACATCGATCCTTTCTCTTGAATTTGCAAATGCCTGGAAAATAAAACCTCTTTCGCTGGTAACTAAAAACACAAATTCTTAAGTACGAGATTTTGTTGAGCAAAAAAGAGAGATTGAACAACCTTGAGATGTTTTTTCAGCAATGTTAATGCATTGATGTTCTCAGCCAATCTGTAGCAGTTGGTACCTATAATATTCATCCAATCCTTTGAATCGCATACTTTTGATGGATTAGCAATTAGTTCCAGAGAAGCACAATCATCTATGCTCACAGTTACTGTACTTGTTGGAAGCTCAGGCAACGATTTCAGCCCCCGGCAATTCATCAATAGAAGATATTCAAGCTTGGAAAGTCGAGTAAGAGAATCGGGTAGGCTGATGAAATTGTTACTGCTGAGATCGAGCATTACCAAAGAGGATAGACAAGAAATATCATTAGGAATATCTCCTTCACAAAGATTGCAGTCCCTTAGTTTCAGCTCTGTCAATGAACTCAAACCCGACAACGAAGGCAACATCAGAGCCATTGAATTTGTCTTTCCTCTTTGGAATTTTTTGAAGAGAGAAGGCAAATTTTGTCGAAACTTAGATGAAGATCCCTTGCAGCTGTTGAAAGACAAAACTTTAAGATTTTTAAGTCGAAAAATGCAGGACGGTGGTTTTGTTATGGCCGTTTCACTCAAGTCGAGCTCTTCCAAAAACTCTGCTAGCTGCAAACTCTCTGGCAAAAATCCAACTCTATAACATCCGGAAAGATCAAGATTTTTTAGACACTCCATTTTGCAATCAATCTCTGGAAACCATAGAAGATTTGAGCAACCCGAAAGAATGAATGCTTGAAGAGATTCCATTCCAATTTTGGTTGGAAGATTCCTAAGACTTTTGCAACCTCTCAAATTCAAATTTTGAAGCCTCTTAAGCTCTGCTATGGATGGATGAACATCAACTATTTTTGTACAACCTTCCAGGATCAGAACTTCAAGATCTGGGGCCATTGTGAAGTCCGGAGTCTTGATCAGGTTCGGGGACTCTCTGAGGTTTAACACTTTCAGCTTGTACAAGGGCTGTTGAAAACAATAATAAATTAGAGAGAAAAGAGAAAACATAAGAAAGCTCGTTCTTGTTATTTTTGTCTCTATCATAATCAAATTTTATTCATTCATCTTAAAATTAGAGAATGAATTCTTACTCTGGTTCCCTTCCATAGTTGTTCAATGCGACTGTATTGTAAGAGAAGTGCAACAAGGTTGTCCGGTTGAAAGCCTGAGGGCAGAGATCTTAAAGGGAATCCTTTCCAATCTAAAAGCCGTAGCTCATTAGAAAGATATTTGAGACCATCACAATTTGAGAGGCAAACAACTTTGAGCAATCTCAATCTTCGAGAAAACAATTTTTCTTCCCATTTCTTGTAGCAAGTCATGCATCCACAATCTGTTGTCTCCCTCAACTGACACTAGAGATTTCTTAACGAGAACATCGATTCCAATATCTGGGAAAAACTCACAACCATCCAACACTTTGGTTACAAAATCTTTCTCCTCCCCCTTGAAGAAGCATGCGATATCAAGAAATATATTCTTTTCCCTTTCTTCCAATCCATCAAAACTGATTCGAAGTCTATCAAGAATTTCTTTGTTGGAGTCTCGTTTAAGTCTTTCAATTGCACTTCTCCATTGAGTTGCATCTCTACCACACAAAAAAGAACCCAACACTTCAAGAGCTAAGGGAAGACCACCAGCGTAATGTACAACATGTTTAGAAAGCTCAATGAAAACATCTTCCAACGCCGTCTCACTATCGAAAGCTTTCAAATTAAAAAGCCGAAGTGCATCATTGGGACTCAATGTTGTAGGCTTATAAACATAGTCGACTCGATAAGATCGGAGCAGATGTTCATCTCTTGTTGTTACAATGATCCTACTGCCTGAACCGAACCAATCACGCCTTCCAACCAAGTGTTCCAAATGTTTTCTGTTATCAACATCATCGATAACAACAAGAACCTTTTTGTAAGACAACCTACGACTGATGATTGCATTTCCTTTATCAACATTGAATATATTGAATCCTCCTTCGGACAAGGTTTCTTTAAGAAGTTGTTTCTGTAAAGAAACAAGTCCCTTTTTGTTTGATTGTTCTCGAACATCAGCAAGAAAGCTTTTACCTTCAAAATGAGATGACATTTGGTCGTAAACAACTCTTGCAAGAGTGGTTTTACCAATGCCACCCATTCCACATATTCCTATAATACGGACATCATCTTCTCCAATATCGATTTTTGAATACAACTCCTCCAAACGGGATCTAATTCCGACCAACTTATCATGAACAACAGGATACGTTTGACATAATGTTGCTGAGATCTTTTTAACAATATCTCCAATGAATTTAGATTCATGCCTACAATAGAAATTAAATTTAGTTTTTTTATTCAGTTTAAGAAATGAACAGATGTGACCATGAAGTAAATGATCAAACTAAGAGAGAAAAGAATGAATTACTTGTTATTCAAATGCCATCCCTTGATGTTAGAAACCTCAGTCAAAGCATTTCGCCATCTTTGGATCTTGTGTTGATCTTCCTTGTATGTCTCTTCGTGTTTGGCAAATGCTTCTCCAACTTTATCCTTTTGTTTCCTTAAATCTGACGGATCCACATCATAGAAAATTGGAAATACTTTATGACCTTTTTCCGATTTTTGTTTAACAATCTCAGCAAGCTCCTCCAAACACCAACTTGAAAAGGCGTAGGTTTTGGAGAAAACGATTACCGAACACCATGATTGTTGAATGGCTTTAAAGAGTTCTGGCGCAATCTCTTCGCCGGCCTCCAGCTTCGGGTCATCCCTGAAAGTGACGATTCCACTGCGTTGAAGAGCATCATAGAGATGATCTGTAAAATTTCTGCGGGTATCTTCACCTCTAAAACTCAAAAAAACATCATATTTGTGTCTGGAAATAGACGAGGAAGACGAAGGCAACGACAACATGACAAATTAGAGGAGGAAAAAAGGGTGTCTCAATCTGATGTTCAAATCAAAGAAATATAGATGGCCTCAAACGCAGGAAGAAACTCGGAAGAGTCCAAATATATGAGCATCAATAAATAGGAAAAAGATATGACATTTCCAAGAAGCTGTTTTCCCGGAAGAATCCAAGAAGCTGAGACTACAACTGCTTGCTTTGCTTTCTTCTGTTCACTGTTGACTAGGCCTCGAGTCGAGCGTAAAGTCAACAATTTCCAAAATCAAAGGCTTCTGAGCAATTTCTGTATAATTATTAATACCAAAGGACGAAAGCGTGTAGTGGTGGAAAGGAAGGTGTTTTCCCGGAAGAATCCAAGAAGCTTCCTTTGCTTTCTTCTGTTCACTGTTGACTAGCCTCAAATCGAGTGTAAAGCCCACATGGTGGACACTACTTTAATTATAAATTACAATATAAAATTATTTTAACTTTTAGACCTTTTTTTATTTTTCCCATTAATATTTAAAAGAAATTGAATGTAATGATAAAAAAACATTATTTTCTTTCTAAATTTTAAATTTAAACTGTTGCATCTATAAATATATATATATATTGTAAATAATTAAAAGAAAATTTGGATAAATATTATTTTATTTTTTTTATTTTGAATAAAATTAATGATTTAAGAAAAAGAATTAATAGAATGTTATTAAGCTATTTAAACACGATTATTGTAGGGGTGGAAATTGTATCGAAAATGAAATGGAGTTGTTTTCCCAGAAGAATCCAAGAAGCTCAGACTACAACTGCTTGCTTTGCCTTCTTCTGTTCGCTGTTGACTAAGCCTCGAGTCGAGCGTAAAGTCGGCAATTTGGACTATTTTAATTATAAATTATAATATAAAATTATTTTAACTTTTAGAATTTTTTATTTTCACATTAATATGTACTACATATTTTTCGACATGTGATATATTCATATCTTCATTTTCGATACACAATATGTATTACATTTTTTTTTACGGCAAAAAGTGTCCGGATAGTGTTATAGGGAGTATTTAATTCTTAAACTAACGTGCTTTTAACATTATTTTTATCTAACGTATTTTTTACTGTAATCACCTAAAGATTCCAGGGTATCTCGGCGGGCTAAAATTTTACCAAAAAATCACTTTTTCCTTAAATATTTACGTTTCAGACACCCTTTGAGATAATATTTCTGATCTAACACCCTTTACAGAAAGATCCACACCAAATTCTCTCAAATTCTCTCAAAAACCAAACCTTGTTCAAATTTTATTTATAAGTTATATTTTATTATATTTAATATTTTGTTATTATTTTATTTAATTATTTAATTATTGTATTATTTATTTTTTAATTTTTTTATTTAATTATTTTATTTTTTACAGTTATAAAATGGAAAGCGATATGCTTTGTTTGGATGGAAATCTGTATAAGTTAAAGGAAACAATGATGTTGAATATTTGTACTGAAACGACGACATTCTTCTAGTTGAGAGGATTGCTTTGAATGTTTACGGGTTGAGAGCGCATTTATAGTCGAGATAAAAGTTTAAAAGCCAAGAAATACATATATAATTATTCAAGACGCAACCTATGCACCGCGCCTATCTGGTGTGTGTGTCAGATGACAGTAAGACGCGACCCACGTGGCGCCACATCAGCGTAAGACGCGGTGTATGGGTCGCGTCTTTCTACAAAGAGTGTTAAAAAAATTAACTAAAGACGTCGAGCAATCTATATCTATCTCTGTGTCCATCAACAGTGGAGTCTTCATTCAATTTGTGCCCTACTTTGATTGATGTCTTACTTTTTTGTTGTAAAAATATTCATCTAGTGATTAAAATGGAAATTTTGAATTTAGGGATCAAAGTGTAATTTTAAATAGTTATGTGATATGGTCCCCTAAATGAAAAGTTCACCCTTAAGAATGGTATTTATGTTTCTTTCATATTTTGATTCAGAGATTATATTAAAATCAATTAAGTGATAAAGATCGATAAAATATTCGGATAACAATATCGAATTGAAAGTCTACAAAAATTTAAAGTAAGGTAGTTTGGGGCTAGAAATATTATATTGATATTTTTAATTAGTGGAATTTGGTGTGAATTAGTGAAACTTGGAGGAATTTCCATGTTAAAGTAGAATAATGAAATTTAATGACTAAATTGAATTTTTTGAAAATTAGAATTCAAAGGTGGAGATTAATAAATGATATTTTTATATTTATTCATTGTTATGAAAATGGAGACAAAAGGATGGAATGGTGGTAATTATTAAGATTCATTAAGGGTAATTACAACTTTTGGACTAAAACGAATTTTAAATTCACTTTTAATAGAATTTTTATAAGTGTGCATAGATATTTTGGGAGATTTGTCCAGAAATTTGGTTCTCCTTCCTATATATGCCGTGAACCATGAATGAAAAAAATACAAGGTATGTTTTCTTTCTTTTTCTTCATTTTAGTCCTTTTTTCTTTGATTTTTGGATTAAGTTATGAAATAGAAAAATGATCCATATCAAATTCTCTATCATTTGGTGATAATATTTCATTGTTTCCATTCTTGGATCATTGGTTTGTTGTTGATATGGAAATGATTGAGAATGGATGAAAATGATGTGTTGATGATGAAATTATGTTTGAATCAAATTGAAAATCAAGCTTGAAATATTTTTGTTCAATTATACCTAAAGGAAGAAAACAAAGAAAAATTGTGGAAAGATTTTATAAGGACTAGAAATGATGTATGAGTGATTCTACATGCTTAGATTATGATTTGAACCAATTTGGAAAATTATGAAAGTATAGGGATTTAATTGTATAATTTGAGAAATATGGAGATTAGTTCAAATGATGTATTAGGTTGAAATTGAATGTTGTAGTGCTAAAATTGATATTTGGATGATGATTTGGATCAAATTGAAACTTGTGAAATTGTAAGGACTTATTTGAAATTTATGGAAATATTTAGGGACTGAAGTGAAATTATTTAATAGATGACGCACTATGCTGGAACTAAAAACTTAGAATTCTGAATTTGATGTTAGAATGTGAAATTAGACTAATTATTGTATCACAATGAAGTTTTATATGTAAAAGAAAAATTGATTTAAAAATTAAATGGTTTATAGATGAAAAGATAAATGATAGGTTACTCATATATGAAATGATATGGTTAATTCTTATTTAATTGATTAAATGGTTTTATACGATATTTTGTACCAAATATATGTGTTACACAATATTGTTATGCGATATGATAAGCATAAATTAAATGGACTGAATTTGAATATGTATATGTGTGTGAATAATGTTATACATGAAAGAAAAAGACTATTATAAGCTTACTTTACGTGCTTATTACATAAAATACTCGATATTAATGTTTTTATATTTTTAGGAGATGTTTTAATAAATTTAATTATAGTTATTACAAATGTTATATATACATGGTGATATAAAAATGTATGATAAAAGTTGAGCTAAAATATTAGAATAATATAATATGAGAAATCGTAATAAAGAAATAAGAAAATATGATAAGTGGTTAAGTGGATATATATATGAGTGGTAATAAATTATAAGGATTGATTGGATTATTTTTAAGCAGTGTAAATAGTGATATGAAGTAATATAGACTTGTCTAATTGTCACATCAAACTAAATACGAATTGAAAATTAAATATTTTATTATTATTTTATGTGTTTAAATAATTTAAAAATAATTGTTAAATTTAGAAGTTTTGAAAAAAAAAATTTGAAGTAGGAAAAATAGTACAAAAACAATGTGACATCTTAACTTGTATTCAGGTTCGAATATAGGTTAAGGTGTTACCGTGGTAAGTTGGACATCTTCCAAATCTTTCTCATACACTATCCTAACCCCACATTTCTTCACCCCAACACCTTTGCCACGAGCAAAATATTCGAATGACAATTCAAGTTCATAGCATTCCTGATTTGAGCAATCCGGTGTTGATGTATTCTCGGTTTCTCTTTCACCACATTCATTCTCCAAGTAATATGGATAGAACACGCGACGCGGAAAATAACCAAGAAAAAGGTGGTCATTTTTTATGGGCTGATTATGTTCTTTCCCTAATCCAATGCCAATGTCATCAAGATTTATTCGAGGTTCTTCCCAATGGATACCATATTGACATAAGATTTGCTCAAGCTCCGAAGAATCACCACCGGCAAAAATGCAGCAGAAAGCAACTCCCATCCATTGACTATCATTCCGAATATTGAGAGGCAGTGGCATCTTTATTGAAGACTCGACTCTTTGATGGCTGAACCATTCCGGGATTTCACTTCCAGGCATAATAACAGCGAACCTTTCTCTTGAATTTGCAAATGCCTGCAAAATAAAACACCTTTTCGCTGGTAACTAAAAACACAAATTCTTAAGTACGAGATTTTGTTGAGCAAAAAAGAGAGATTGAACAACCTTGAGATGTTTTTTCAGCAATGTGTTATAGTTTAGAGAATTAGAAAAGATATAAGAAGAAGAAATTAGAATTGAGAGATTTCAGAAAAAGTATACGTTCTTCATTACTTTCCAATTCCTCCTTTCAGCCATTGTTTTATTTAGTTACAGGGCTATAATTGTAATCTGAATTGTGCCAGCTGTCAGTACTATATAACAGCTATAACTAATTAATATTCTCTTCTCTCATCAGGTCCTGGGCCATCAAACTTGGGCTCCTTCCTCTCTTGCTGGACTGCACGCAGACGATCCAACTCAATATTGCTCCAGCGTGTAATCTGCTCCCCATCAGGTAATTACCTCGTTCCTTCTTCTTTTACTTTTAATCCCTAAATCCCCAATTTCAAATCCCTCTCTTCCTTCGATCCCCAATTCTCCTTCATCAAACCCTAACCCTTGACCTCCTCTTCTCTCAATTCCTTCGTTATTTCCACGCTCTTCTCCTCCTACTGTAACAATACCCGCCGCTGGAATCGATCCTTGACCCCAAGGATCAAAGCCTGGAAATTGTCCTCGCAAAACAGTATAATCTTCCCATGTATCATTGTTCTCATCAAGGTTCGTCCATCGCACCAACAACTGTGTAACAGGTTTGTTTTGTCTGTTGATAATCCTTTTGCCCATCACTTTATAAGGTTCGATTCTAATCTGTCCTTCTTCGTCCATTGCAGGAGGAGTCGTTGAAGAGACTGCTGAGGGCCCGATGTGTTTTTTTAACAGACTGACATGAAAAACTGGATGTAGACGTGATGATTCAGGTAATTCCAATCTATATGCAACTTCTCCAATTTTTTCAATAATTTTGTAAGGGCCATAAAATTTCGCTGCCAACTTTAAATTTTTTCGCAGGGCCAAGGAAGTCTGTCGATATGGTTGCAGCTTCAGGTAAACTGTCTCCCCGACTGTAAAAACTCTTTCTGTCCTGTTTTTGTCTGCTTTTTGTTTCATCCTGTTGCTAGCATTCTCCAATTGTAGCTTTACTAACTGTCTAATGTCTTCTCTGCTTCTCATTAAATCATGAACTGACTGTATATGTGAATCTGTCTGCCACACCATAGTAGGAGGCTTGTAACCATACAATGCCTGAAAAGGTGTTATTTTTAGGGCAGTGTGGTAGGTAGTATTATACCACCACTCTGCATGAGGCAACCACTTAGCCCATTGCTTAGGTTGAAAAAAACATAAACCCCTTAAATATTGCTCCAAACATTGATTGACCCTTTCTGTCTGACCATCAGTCTCAGGATGGTAAGCTGTGCTGAACAATGTAGTGGTTCCAAGCTGCTTCATTAGTTCTCTCCAAAAGAGACTAGTGAATGTCTTATCTCTATCTGAAATAGCTAATTTAGGTTGACCATGTAACTTGTAAACATTATCAAGATAGAGTTTAGCCACCTCCACAACAGTATAGGGATGAGACAATGCCATAAAATGACTGTATTTTGTAAATTTATCCACCACAACCAATATACAGTTCTTTCTCAAAGAAGTAGGTAAGCCATCAATAAAATCCATAGTAACCACCTCCCAAGCTTGGTTAGGAATAGGAAGAGGCTGTAGCAGTCCCGGTTTAGATATATGCTCAACTTTAGTTTGTTGACAAACTGTACAACATCTTATATAATTAACCACCATTGCCTTCAGCCTAGGCCAATAAAAATAGGATCTAATCCTTTGATATGTAGCTTGAGTCCCAGAATGACCTCCATGAGGAGAATCATGTAAAACTTGAAGAATTTGGAGCCTAAGAGACCCATTAGATCCAATGTAAACTCTGCCTCTAAATCTTAGGATCCCTTTTGAAAATGACCAATTAGGAGCAGTAGTCGGTGTTACAGATAATAATCTGATCCAATCAGCAGCCAAACTGTCATCCTTATAGCTAGTTTCAACTTCATGTACCCAACTAGGAATAAGCAAAGTGATTCCCATGGCCAAACATTTACCAGTATCTTCCCATTGCCTTGATAAAGCATCTGCAACAGTATTAGATTTACCCTTTCTGTAGTGAATAGTATAGTCCAACCCCAATAATTTAGTCAACCCTTTCTTTTGAATTGTAGTGGTCAGTTTCTGCTCCAATAAATACTTCAGTGGCTCATGATCAGTTTTAATAATAAAAGGCTTACTTTCTAAGTAATGCCTCCATTTAGAAACTGCTAGTAAAATAGCAAGATACTCCCTTTCATAGATAGAGAGGGCAACATGTCTAGGACTTAGGGCCTTACTAAGATAAGCAATAGGTCTGCCCTCTTGAGATAACACAGCCCCAATTCCTCCTGAGCTAGCATCTGTTTCCAAACAGAAACTTTTACTGAAATCAGGTAAAGCCAAAACTGGAGCCACACACATAGCTTGTTTTAACAATTCAAAAGCATTCAAAGCTGCAGTATTCCACTGAAAATTATCCTTAGTAAGCAGTTGAGTCAAAGGCTTACTAATGGACCCATAGTCTTTAATAAACCTCCTGTAATAACCAGTTAAACCCAAAAATCCACGCAAAGACTTTAAGGATTTAGGAATAGGCCAATTCCTCATAGCTTCTATCTTACTAGGATCTGTTGCTACTCCTGCTGCAGAAATAATATGTCCCAAGTATTCTACTTGGGTCTGTCCAAAAAAACACTTGGACATTTTTGCAAATAGTTGATTGACTTTCAAAATCTCCAAAACTAATTGCAAATGAGTAATATGTTCTGCCATAGAATTACTGTAGACCAATATATCATCAAAGAACACCAAAACAAATTTTCTAAGAAATGATTTAAACAAATCATTCATTAGTGCTTGAAATGTAGCAGGAGCATTAGTAAGACCAAATGGCATTACCTTGAATTCATAATACCCTTGATGAGTTCTGAATGCTGTTTTGTAAATATCCTCCTCTTTAATTCTGATTTGCCAATAGCCTGACCTTAAGTCAATCTTAGAAAAATAAACTGCTCCATATAATTCATCTAATAAGTCCTCCACCACCGGAATAGGAAACTTGTCCTTGATTGTCAGATTGTTTAATTGTCTGTAATCAACACAAAACCTCCAAGTCCCATCTTTTTTTTTTTATCAATAGGCATGGAGAAGCAAAGGGACTCTTGCTAGGTTGAATAATGGAAGATGATAACATTGTAGCAATCTGTCTTTCCACTTCATTCTTCTGGTTATGAGGAAATCTGTAGGGCCTCAAATTAACAGGACTATAACCAGATTTGAGTAAAATAGCATGATCATGAGTCCTTGTAGGAGGTAATCCGTTAGGCTCATCAAAAACCGAGCTATACCTCTTTAAAAGAGGTTTGAGAGCTGCAGGAACTGTTTTAGGAATTTCAGTCATACTCAACAAGACCACATGCCCCAAAATAGCTGCCTCAGAAGCTGTCATTTTTAATAAAGTAGCACCTGAAATCTGCTGTAACAGCAGTGAAGGTTGTTGTCCCTGTATAATAATATTTTCACCTTGATGCTGAAAACTCATTGTCATTTTATTGAAGTCCATCAGAATTGGACTAAATAACTTCATCCAATCAACCCCTAAAACCATATCACTGCCTCCCAATTTAAGGAGTCGAAAGTCATGTATAAAAGAGTGCCCTTGCATCTGCCATTCTACCTTGTTGCATCTAGCTGAACTATAGAGTTGTTGGCCATTAGCTACTGTTATAGCTAAAGGATAGGGAGTTAGAACCTGAAATCCAGCATCAGCCCATTCTGGTGTCAAAAAGCTATGTGTACTTCCACTGTCAATCAAAATATTCAAAGGTTTGCCTTGTATTGTTCCTTGAATCCTCAAAGTATTATGACTAATACACCCCGTAATAGCATTCATAGATATCTCTAAGTTTTCCTCTTCTTGTAGTAACTGCTGGTCTGAATCAATAAGAACAGATTCTGTAGGAATAGGATTTTCCTCTTCAATCATCATATTGAGATTTCTTGTTTTACATTGATGGCCTGGCTGAAATTTGTCTCCACACTTAAAACAAAGGTTGTTTTGTCTTCTGTACTCAATAAGATTCTGTTTAGTGTTTGGCACTGCTGTAGGTTTTGTATTTACTGGCAATGAAACTGATTTAGAAACAGTAATGGGTTTGGGTAGGGTGGGAATTTAAAAGAAGGCCTCAACCTTCTGTTCTCAAACTCCACAGACAATTCATAGAGCTTGGCTTGCTTACATGCTTCAATTAAATTCCTAGGATCCAAGGCTTTGACCCTATGCTTAATATCATCCCTGAGTCCACTAATAAAAAGTGACACAAAAAACTCCTCAGTTAAAGTAGGATTTTGCAACAACATATGAGGTTGTAACTCCTCAAATTTCTCTTGATATTCCTCCACAGACCCTTTCTGAGTCAATTTAGTGAATTCCTCAACAATATCAGAAAAATTTCTGTCACTGAATCTGTGGCAGAGATCTGCTTCAAATTCATGCCAAGTAACATGGTGCTTTTGCATGATATACCCATCAAACCAAATTTCTGCTTTTCCAGTGAGATACATAGTAGCCACTTCTACCCTTTGATCTACAGAAACATTGCATAAGGAAAAATACTTGAGGCACTTCTGCAGCCACCCCCTAGGATTTACCCCTTCAAAAAATGGCAACTCTATTTTGGGTCTATGCCACATAGTCCCTGAGCTGTTAAACGAACCCCCTGCTCCCTTGTTTTCAGTTTCCAAACCCAGCATAACAGGTCTATTATTACTGTTTTCACCCATTTGGTTCTCAATTCTAGAACTGTTCTTAGGGGCAAACATCAGGTTTATCCTTCAAAATCCCAGGTTCATCAGTTTTATAAGAGAATCTGGATTTATCCTTAACTACAGTCACCAAAACAGGATTTTTTTCCCCATTTTTAGAGCTGTTAGGAGTGTATACCTGATCCCCTGCAGCTTGCTCTTGTTCACCATTTCTGCCCGTTAATATCTTCAGTATATCTTCCACATAGCCATGATTCGTGGCCATCCTTGCCTCCAATGCCGTAATCCTGTTTTCTTGAGTCTCCCACCACTTAGGTGGATTGGTCGCATCTTGACCTTGTTTCACCAAAGCAGCAAGGTCTGCAATCTGTTTCTGAATCCCAGCTAAATCCGATTCTGTCATAGCTTGGTTCTTCTTTGGCATGCCCTCAAAACTGTTTTGCCAGAATCGTAGCTCTGATTACCAATTGTTATAGTTTAGAGAATTAGAAAAGATATAAGAAGAAGAAATTAGAATTGAGAGATTTCAGAAAAAGTATACGTTCTTCATTACTTTCCAATTCCTCCTTTCAGCCATTGTTTTATTTAGTTACAGGGCTATAATTGTAATCTGAATTGTGCCAGCTGTCAGTACTATATAACAGCTATAACTAATTAATATTCTCTTCTCTCATCAGGTCCTGGGCCATCAAACTTGGGCTCCTTCCTCTCTTGCTGGACTGCACGCAGACGATCCAACTCAATATTGCTCCAGCGTGTAATCTGCTCCCCATCAGGTAATTACCTCGTTCCTTCTTCTTTTACTTTTAATCCCTAAATCCCCAATTTCAAATCCCTCTCTTCCTTCGATCCCCAATTCTCCTTCATCAAACCCTAACCCTTGACCTCCTCTTCTCTCAATTCCTTCGTTATTTCCACGCTCTTCTCCTCCTACTGTAACACAATGTTAATGCATTGATATTCTCAGCCAATCTGTAGCAGTTGGGAGCTATAATATTCCAATCCCATGAATTGCATACTTTGGATGGATTAGCAATTAGTTCCAGAGAAGCACAATCAGCTATGCTCACATATTCTACACTTGTTGGAAGCTCAGGCAACGATTTCAGCCCCCGGCAATTCATCAATGCCAGTTTATTAAGATTGGAAAGTCGAGTAAGAGAATCAGGTAGGCTGATGAAATTGTTACCACTGAGATTGAGCATTACCAAAGAGGATAGACAAGAAATATCAGTAGGAATATCTCCTTCACAAAGATTGCAGTCGCTTAGTTTCAGCTTTGTCAATGAACTCAAACCCGACAACGAAGGCAACATCAGAGCCATTGAATTCGTCTTTCCTCGTTGGATTTTTTTTGAAGAGAGAAGGCAGATTTTTTCGAAACTTAGATGAAGATCCCTTGCGGCCGTTGAAAGACAAAACTTTAAGATTTTTAAGTCGAAAAATGCAGGAAGGTGGTTTTGTTATAGCCGTTTCACTCAAGTCAAGCTTTTCCAAAAACTCTGCTAGCTGCAAACTCTCTGGCAAAAATCCAACTCTATAACATCCGGAAAGATCAAGAGTTTTTAGACAATCCATTTTGCAATCAATCTCTGGAAACCACAGAAGATTTGAGCAACCCGAAAGAATGAATGTTTGAAGAGATTCCATTCCAATTTTGGTTGGAAGATTCCTAAGACTTTTGCAGCCTCTCAAATTCAAATTTTGAAGCCTCTTAAGCTCTGCTACGGATGGATGAACATCAACTATTTTTGTACAACCTTCCAGGATCAGAACTTCAAGATCTGGGGCCATTGTGAAGTCCGGAGTCTTGATCAGGTTCGGGGAGCCTCTGAGGTTTAACACTTTCAGTTTGTACAAGGGCTGTTGAAAACAATAATAAATTAGAGAGAAAAGAGAAAACATAAGAAAGCTCGTTCTTGTTATTTTTGTCTCTATCATAATCAAATTTTAATTATTCATCCTAAAAATAGAATTAATTCTTACTCTGGTTCCCTTCCATAGTTGTTCAATGCAACTGTATTGTAAGAGAAGTGCAACAAGGTTGTCCGGTTGAAAGCCTGAGGGCAGAGATCTTAAAGGAAATCCTTTCCAATCTAAAAGCCGTAGCTCATTAGAAAGATATTTGAGACCATCACAATTTGAGAGGCAAAGAACTTTGAGCAATCTCAATCTTTTCATCTTCGAGAAGTCATCAACACTCAAATTGAGTGTCTTGTTCGATTCCCTGATAACCATGAGAAAAACAAAAAATGAGCTTCAAACTATGCAAAAGCAAATCCAATACCTAAAAGCTATGTTGCTCCATTACTGTGTTTTCAATCATCCGTATTTGATACTTGTATCTGACGCATTAGAGTATTGTAATATGATATTTCAAGAACTCTTCGAATCCATGGAAAAACGTTAAAATCAATACCCATTTTTTCCTACCTTTGATTGTCGATGATCATGGCTTCAATCACCTCCGTGGCCTACATGTAATCAAGAACAGAGTATAAGAAGACAGAATGAATGGTTTAAACTGCATGATAAGACTTTTGACAATTTACACCTATGTTTAACATTACGATAATCTTTTGATCGGAATATAGTAAATAAATCACTTTAAACAAATTATAACATTTTCCAATGAGAGTGATTTACTGAAATTATATACTTATTCAAATCCTTATTAACTGAAATTATAACATTTTCCAATGAGAGTGATTTACTGAAATTATATACTTATTCAAATCCTTATTAACTGAAATTATAACATTTTGCGTAGGAAGACTTAGTTTTATTGAATGACTTACGGTTTTTTTTGTAAGAACATGTTGGATGTACCTTTCATCCCACAATCTGCAACGCTTTCCAGGTTCATCAATAGATTTCTCCCAAACAATTTTTCTTCCCATTTCTTGTAGCAAGTCATGCATCCACAATCTGTTGTATTCATCAACTGCCACTAGGGATTTCTTAACGAGAACATCGATTCCAATATCTGGGAAAAACTCACAACCATCCAACACTTTGGTTACAAAATCTTTCTCCTCCCCCTTGAAGAAGCATGCGATATCAAGAAATATATTCTTTTCCCTTTCTTCCAATCCATCAAAACCGATTTGAAGTCTATCAAGAATTTCTTTGTTGGAGTCTCGTTTAAGTCTTTCAATTGCACTTCTCCATTGAGTTGCATCTCTACCACACAAAAAAGAACCCAACACTTCAAGAGCTAAGGGAAGACCACCAGCGTAGCGTACAACATGCTTAGAAAGCTCAATGAAAACACCTTCTAATACTGTCTCACTATCGAAAGCTTTCAATTTAAAAAGCCTAAGTGCATCATTGGGACTCAATGTTGTAGGCTTATACACATAATCGGCTCGATAGGATCGGAGCAGATGTTCATCTCTTGTTGTTACAATGATCCTACTGCCTGAACCGAACCAATCACGCCTTCCAACCAAGTGTTCCAAGTGTTTTCTGTTATCAACATCATCGATAACAACAAGAACCTTTTTGTGAGACAACCTATGACTGATGATTGCATTTCCTTCATCAACATCGAATATATTGAATCCTCCTTCAGACAAGGTTTGAGTAAGAAGTTGTTTCTGGAAATAAACAAGTCCCAATTTGTTTGAAACTTCTCGAACATCAGCAAGAAAGCTTTTGCCTTCAAAATGAGATGACATTTGGTCGTAAACAACTCTTGCAAGAGTGGTTTTACCGATGCCACCCATTCCACATATTCCTATAATACGGACATCATCTTCTCCAACATCGATTTTTGAATACAACTCCTCCAAACGGGAACTAATTCCAACCAACTTATCATGAACAACAGGATACGTTTGACATAATTTTGCTGATACCTTTTTAACAATATCTCCAATGAATTCAGATTCATGCCTACAATAGAAATTAAATTTAGTTTTTTTATTCATTTAAGAAATGAACAGATAAGACCATGAAATAAATGATCAAAGAGAGAAAAGAATGAATTACTTGTTATTCAAATGCCATCCTTTGATGTTAGAAACCTCAGTCAAAGCATTTCGCCATCTTTGGATCTTGTATTTATCTTCCTTGTATCTCTCTTCGTGTTTGGCAAATGCTTCTCCAACTTTATCCTTTTGTCTTCTCAAATCAGACGGATCCACATCATAGAAAATTGGAAATACTTTATGACCTTTTTCCGATTTTTGTTTAACAATCTCAGCAAGCTCCTCCAAACACCAACTTGAAAAGGCGTAGGTTTCGGAGAAAACGATTACCGAGCACCATGATTGTTGAATGGCTTTAAAGAGTTCTGGGGCAATCTCTTCGCCGGCCTCCAGCTTCGGGTCATCCCTGAAAGTGACGATTCCACTGCGTTGAAGAGCATCATAGAGATGATCTGTAAAATTTCTGCGGGTATCTTCACCTCTAAAACTCAGGAAAACATCATATTTGTGGCTGGAAATAGACGAGGAAGACGAAGGCAACGACAACATGACGAATTGTAGGAGGAAGAAAATGATGTCTCAATCTGATGTTCAATATCAATATATATATATATATATAGATGGCCTAAAACGCAGGAAGAAACTAGGAAAAGTCCAAGTAAAAGAGCAAGAATGAAGAGAAAAAGAGATCAAATTTCCAAAAACAAAGGGTTCCGAGCAATTTCTGTATAATTATTAATACCAAAGGAAGAAAGCGTGTAGTGGTGGAAATGAAGCTGTTTTCCCGGAAGAATCCAAGAAGCTGAGACTACAACTGCTTCCTTTGTTTTCTTCTATTCACTGTTGACTAGGCCTCGAATCGAGCGTAAAGTCTACAAGGTGGACTACTTTAAGAGTAAACTACACCATTCATTACAAAATTTTACTTTATTTCCTATTTTACTCACTGTAATTTCAGTTTTTTTAATTTACTCACTGAATTTTATAGATTGAAATTTTTTGATCACTCAACGATGACATAAATTATTTTATTATTTTTTCATATGAAATGTAATATTTTTATTAATATTTTAATATTATATAGTATTATAATAAAAAATAAAATTTAAAAATATTAAATTATACACAAAACCCTAAATCAATAAATTATACTACAAATCATAAACCCTAAATTAAAATTATCACCTCACCCCCACCCTCGATGACAACACTCACCTTAGATGATGAGAACCCTTGATTGGTTTATGGTAATATTGCTAGAACCCTTGATTGCACTTCCTTTTCAAAGACGATGGAGGTTTACCATATGAAGGGACCTGGGGAGAGAAAGACAATGGAAACAATCTAGGAACTAGTTGTGTTGTAGATTAAAGACGGACACTTTACATTTTTGTCCCGGTAGTATATTCAATTTATCATTTTCATCTCTATCATATTTTCGCATTAATTTAGTCATCGAAATTGCTTAATTGTATCATTCTATATCCTACCTCTCACTTAAAACCCTAAATTCAATACCTTGAATATTTGCATTTCTTGAAGTTCTTTTCAGTCTGCAAAATATATAACAATACAAGGAAAAAAAATGAAGCAGATCTTAATATAAGTTTTCAAGTGACATCTTTAGCAACTTATACAAAAATTTATCTAAACCTACAGTGTTGATTCTTCAGAGCTTGACTTCCACATCAACCCCAGCAGGAAGGTCGAGTTGCATCAACGAATCGATCGTTTGTGCTGTTGGGTATAGAATATCGATAAGGCACTGGTGTGTCCGAATCTCAAAGTGGAACCTTGCATCTTTGTATACATGTGGGGATTTAAGGACACAATAGATCCTCTTCTTGGTCGGTGACGGCACAGGTCCCATCATCTTGGCATTGGTAGTTCGAGCGGCATCCAAAATCTGCTTGCAAGAGTCCTCGATCAAGGGTACCCAGTATGACCTAAGTTTAATTTGAATCTTCTGCTTAGGTGCTGCCTGTGAAAGGAATTGTGAATAAGAATTTCCTGTATAATCACCAGAAATCAATATAAAAATATAATGTAATTAGAGACAAGTTTCCGATCACGTCAGTCGAATCCAGCATGAGACAAAGGCAATAGAAGACACCTAGAAAGATAATAATGATTCGATAAGTCTTCTTTACCAATGATTGGTAAAGGCCAGGTACAATCTAACCATTTTTACCAAGCTCCTTTGGTGGACCAGTGCAGTCTTCTAATGACTCAAAGGAAAACCCTTGTATACCATAGAGCGCCCGTGTTTGTAAGATGCACAAATAGACTCTTCCCGCTCAAGTGGGAGAATGAGTCCTTTAACCGGAATCCGCCCCACGTTCTATCCAATTTTACTAAACCTATCGAATCCATCATCAATCCTCCAAGGTGAAGGTACGATGGTTCAGCTTCATCATTGGACTTCTAGTGATTTCCAGTCATTTGGAATCCCCTTTAACATTTTACCAAACAATACGGCCAACAGCAAGCCCGAGTAAACTACAGTTAATTGTTCCTCGAAAACATGAAGTGCTGCGGACCAGCTAAATGCCAGTCAGGCCAAGATTAACTCATTTCTAGGTAAGCATTCTAGAGATCAGCTAGATGTCATTCAAGCCAAGATTAACTCATTTATAATCCAATGCCATACTTGATTATCACCATATATGCAAAGAGAGGAGAGCAATAATAAAGTTTTAAACCTTCAGGTGCCTACTGTGGTTGGACTGTGAGCACTAACGAAAACCGGGAAAATCGCTGATAATGATTCGACCTACGTGAATAAACTTTTTACAAAGTACAACTACCATCCCAACTTGAAAGGGCAATAGTAAACTATAAAACCGGAACAAGAAGAAAAAGAACATTAAATTTTTCACCTAAGCTTCTAGCAGCCAATATCATACTTGTATTACAAGATAGCCGATGTATTTATATTATCACCAAAGGGAAAATCTCATATTATATCTAATAGTCTAAAATCCTTTTCGGCGAGTTTAACTCTAGAACTTGTTTGAGCTGCATCACAGTTTTAAACAAGTTCCATCATCTCAAATGCATACCTTATCAGCTTCTATGGTAACAGATGAAGCAGTGGGCACCTCAGAGGCTCCAACCTGCAAGACACAAACTAGGTTCAAATCATAAGAATAGGGAATCGAATGTAAAACTAAACTCACTTTTCTATGCTCGGTGTCTCAAATTCCAGTGCAACGGATTTTCTCTCACATTTCTTAGCATACAATCAATGAACTAAGTCCAAATTACAATTCTATCCTATCAGCTAAGCTCACTTGTTGGTGTTCAGGATTTCAAATTTGAGTGCAACAGTATTACGACAGGCTCATATGAACCACAGTATTAAATTGCGACAATAACTCAGTGTAACGATCGCATCTTAACGTTTTTCAATATTAACGCAACACCGCGAACCGCAATTTAGTACTATGATATGAACAAAACAGAAATGGCAGAAGTTCAACTATTTTTTTCTCTCACGTTTCTTAGCAAACAAACAAAGAATTATACAACACACCTCTAAAAACTCAACCCCATCAAGCCCAAAGGGCAAAGACTATCTTTTTTCTTTTTCAATTCCCACTATCTCTGAGCAATCAAATGCTTAAAACTAAATTCCAAAGTTCTATAAAGAAAAGGGTGAAACTTAGCAAACCTCGGGTATCTTTTGCAAATCTTCAGGGGCAGCAAAAGTCTTTGTGGTGAACTGTGAAAGTTTGAGGGAATGAGTGGGGAGCTTCAAGGGGTTGAAAGAAAGTGGTGAAGAAGTAGAAAGAAAAGTGAGCCTTGGTTTGGGTGAAGAAGGGTTTGGGATTGTTGAAGAAGGAAACAGAGTTGGAGAGATCGATGACACCGCCATTGCAGGTTTCAAGCTTTAGATGGGGAAGAAAAGAAGTAAGAGATATGAAGGTAAGAGCAGCTGAGCGTAGTTCAATTCACAAGTTCACCATTGTTATCCAAGAAGGTTTTTTCTTTTTCTTTTGGATAAATTACACATCTAGTACCTAAACTATTACTTTTGTTCTGGTTTGATACTTTTTACTTTTTTTTCAAAATCAAACCTAACATTTAGTTCATGTTTCAATTTGGTATTCCATCGTTAAAAACTTAACAATGATGTTAACGTGTCATCATAAGCATCATAAGATAATATCATATCATTATTGGAAAAAAATCACTTCAATAATTCTGCTAATTTTTTAACAACAGGTAATCAATTAAAACATAAACCACATATTAAATATGATTATAAAAATAAATAAAGTTCATATATCAAAACATAACAAAAATAATATTTTAGGTATTAAACATATAGGTTTAACTTTTTTTTTACATTTTCTTCTTCATTTATAAAGAGTCTTTCCTAGCTGGGCCTAAAGGTATGGGAGAGCCCAAAATTAAGTATAATTTAAATATTTTGATATTCGATTTAAATTAGGCATGGATATATTATTCGGACTCGATGGATTCTGACTTGATCTTAACTTATAGGATCAGATATTTTTTTGTAAAAAAGTATAGATCAAGTTTTTTTTAAAGAATAAAATCGAGTTAAATTAATGTTAGGGTTAAAAAACTTTAATTTAAGATAATAATATAATTATTCAATAATACTTTTATATTTTTTCCAAATAAATCTCTATTTTATTAAATAAAAATTATATGTATATATGTTGAGAAAATTGCATACGAGTTTTTATCTAAAAATCAAGTCAGATTTTAAATCAAGTCAGATCGAGTTCAATTTTTACCTCAAAAATTAAGTCAGATTTCAAACTGGATGGAATCTTCCTAAACTCGGATCGATCATGGGGATGAATGAAAGACTACAATACTCAGATCAAATTCGAGTCGATCAAAAACTCAATTCGATTTAACTCATGCCATTCTTAATTCAAATAATTCAAGAGGCTTACCGATATTTTTTATTTATAAATATATTTAATAATATTTTAATATTAATCTATTATTTTCATCTATAAGAACGTGGATGGAACAAACTCTTATTTGTATACAAATTATAAAAACAACTCTTTCTATTACTATAAAAATTATTATAATTTCCTAAATAATTTTCTATAAATATTATTTTTTTAAAAATATTTTCACCATTTTTCTTTATTAGTTATTTATTTAGTATTCTTTTCATAATACAGTCTGCCAGCTCATTATATCGTTCCGTTATCTCCGCCTTCTTCACAAACGGTTTTCATTAACGCCTCCGTTTCATTTCCCACTCTCCATTTTTCCGTTAATACTGACGGTCTTATCTATCTCTAAAGTTGTAAAAATATTACTCTTTCTCCGTTTCATCTCTCTCCGAACTTCCGAAGCCCTATTCTCTCTCTCTTCAATCACAAGAGAAAGTTTTTCTCTCAATAATTCATGTCGGTATGTGATCTTTTGGGGTTATTCTTATTCTTATTATTATTATCATTTAAAAGGTTTTGAATTTGTTGTCTGGTTAAATTCATTTTTTGTTTGTTTATGGATTTGAGTTTTGGATTGCCATGATTGATATCTTTTCTGGGTTTTTATTGTTTGGCGTTTTTTTATGGGTTTGAGTTTTTGTTTTGTTTTCTTTGATGAGTTTTGATGGAAGGTGGGTTTGAGCCTTTTGTTTTGTTTAATTGATGGTTTGTATACAATTTTGAGCAATTTGTGTGATAACATGATTTCTGGTGGGAAATTGTTATACTTTAAGGTGATTTCACTCGATTAGAACCTTGGAAGTTAGATATATATTGGGGAATAAAAGATGTATTAATAAATGGGTTAGTTGTTTTAATGTACCATTAATTTTGTTATGGAAATGGTTAGTCACTGAATCTTGTAAGGGGTGATAAGGTAGGATTGCCATGGAGTTCTTTTGAGGACATATCCGGAATCAAAATTTTGAAATTTGATCCCTAAGAAAATTAGCTTTTGCTGGGCGTATTCTAAGGGTTTTTGCCGTTGCTTTTGTGTTTATTTGATAGTCTAATCTGCGAAGGTTGATCATAAATGCTGTAACCTATGAATATGATCATTTTCTGAAAAGTAGACGTATGTTTCATATTGGTTTTTTGAATGTTCAATTGGCCTGCTCTAAGTTATTAGAGTTCCTTATGGGGTCTATGGCAAAGTTAATTTTTGAAGTGTCCGACTAAACTATGCATTGATTCCCATTAGTTAATATTATTTTGGCTTTTTATTTGTGTTGGTGATTCCTTTTTTTTCATGATAATTTAAGCTTTTACCGCATCTTTGTGAACGTCTCAGATTATCTGGTCATATTTTTCCGTGGTGTTTTCATCTCCACATTAACTGTGATTTATTGTATTTTTGCTAATTTGGCATGGTTTCTATCATTGTTCTACCCACCTAACAGCTCCATTCAATAAAATTCTCTGAAGTGAATTATTATTGATTATATAATAGCTTAAAACATGTATTCGCGGATCATTATGACTGATTTTCTTGGCCATACATATCCTATTTGAAAAATAGTGATCATGGAAATTTGAGATCTGGGACCAGGTTTCCTTTCTGTGAGCGATCAATAACCGGTGACTGGTTAATTGAAACTGCTCTATGTATTTAGGACCGCCATTTTACCTGACTGCTGTAATGATTATTTGATCAGAGCCGCCATTGATCTGAGCTCAGCTGAAAATTGAAATCACGTCAGTCGGCCTTCAATATTGCAAAAACATGCAAATTATGTTTTCTTTAGTTAAATGAAATTTACTTTAATTAAGTTGAAGCTGAAGTTATGCAAGAACCGTATGGTATCCTGCAGCGGTTTTTTAGGAGCTTCACTGGCATTTAGAGGCTGCATTGTGTCCAATGATATTATGCTCAATTGAATAATGCTGTGTTCTATTCTTAGTCAGAAAATTATTGGGTTTCAAGTTTAGCACGTAATAGATAAACTCTGTTCAATTCAAAGAAACTGAGAAATACCTAGAAAGTGAAAGAAATCGGTCGTACACCGTTACGCTAGTTTCCCTTGACCTCGATGGAAAACAATGAAGACTGATTTGTCATATGGTCTATTTCCCTTTACCTTTTTATTAGAGTTTGAAACCATCAAGGTAAGCATTTCGTTAGAGTAACTGTTTTGTCACCGAAGTTTGTTTACTGTATTTGGACAAATAATTCTGTGTGGCTGTGCCTGGACTTCTTTTGTTTGTACAATTGTTTGACTAGTTACGTTGTGCAATCGAATGCTAGGTTAATCTTGACAGGGGCTAGTTGTCATGTTGATGTTCGGTCTGTCTACCTACATTGGTAACGAGGATATTAACAGGGAACGTTTTGCTGTTTCTTTTATGCTCAACAGGATCAGGGTCGACCATTGCCCAAATTCGGTGAATGGGATGTCAACGATCCTGCATCGGCCGAGGGATTTACCGTGATCTTCAACAAGGCGAGGGATGAGAAGAAAACAGGCGGCAAACCCGAGTCAGTTGAAAAGGCTGACCCTCAGGGTAAACCTGAAGCCAAACCCGGCAAATCCCAGACCGTAAGTGATCTCTAACGGCTCTAGCCTGAATACGCATATGCGGCATCATTTTCGATTCTGTATCATAGATTTCTCTTTTGATGCAGTGTTGCTTCTTATAGAAAAAATGGTTTTGTTGCGTTCTCGTGCCCGATCGTAAGAGCTGGTATCTACAGGGCATGGATGAGCTTTTTTTCTGGGATTCAATTCTTGAGTGTAAAATTGTATTGTGGTGAGGGATATAAGAGCGAAGAAGACAAAAGCATGCATTACTTCTTTATAATCTTCGTGTTATACAAGTAATTGGTGTGTTTTTCACAAGATTTTTCATTTATTATCCAACAGTATTCTCAATCAAATATTTAATAGTAATATAGATGCATATGTAACTATGAAAAGGAAGACAAAACAAATTAATAAATGAAATTTGGCTAAACCCACGTGTCGGGTCATGGGAGGGATCCGAGTTAACCTACCCGACCCATTTGACCTTCTTGGTTCATTGACCTAGGACTGTAAATGAGACGAAATAGATCGTGAGCTACTCGAGATCGACTCGGTCAATACTCGAATCGAATGAACTTGAGCTCGAATTCGACTCGAATTTTTAATGAGCTTAAAATGAGCTACTTAATGCTCGACTCAAAAAACTCTCGAGCTATTCAAAAAAAATGTTATATTATTATTTTTAGATTTTTTATAGTTCATACATTCATATTATAATATATTGGTAATGGTTAATTAAAGGGAAACTTATTTATATATTTTTAAATGTAATGTAAAATTTTTGTAGGTTCAAATTTGAGTTTGAGTTCGAGCTTGAATCGAGTTCATAATTTTTTTTTTTGAGTTTGAGTCTTTTCGAGTTCGAGTCTTTTCGAGTCGAGTTTCAATATTATATTTCGAGTTTGAGCTGAATTTGATAATTTTTAGCTCGCGAGTTTTCGAGTCGAGCCTAATTTTAAACTTTTCGAATTCGAGGCGAGTTCCGCAATACCCGAGCTCGACTCGGCTCGTTTACGGTCCTACATTGACCCCTCTCCTTGAGAGGAAAAGTGGCATGTTTCACTCGATCGATGTCGTAGAGGCTTCATTCATCAGATATAATTCATCTATGGAGGGATCTTCGATGTCATCATCAATTGGTCATTTCAGTGTTAGCTCTAAATTTCTTTTAATTTGGATACACTGCTGTAAAATTAATATTTTTATTACGAGTAGACTTCTTTTTAAGATTTAATAGTTCATCTTTTCTGACTTGCATGGAGAACCGTATCACAATTTAAACGACAACGTTTTAACTACCGTCATGGGTGTATGACTTGTCTATTTAAGTTTTCATGACCAAAGGATCTCAATTATGTGTTCAGGAGGTACTTCTGATCTCAGAAGTTTGTTCACACTGTAACATTACTTGCATGCAATTATTCAATACAACATTTCCTAACTAATTTTTTTCTTATGAATTTTATAATTAAATAAAAAATAATAATACTATTAATTATATTACTTTCTATGAAATTTGTGGCTGAAGTATTTTTTTTAAGTAATATTGGGAAGTATTCATTTATTGGAAACCATAACGTCATCGTCTTGTCAATTACAGACTTAAAAGTCGGGACTATCATAAAATATTACAATGATCCAAGAGCTGTCGAATCCATCCAACTGGACAACAGACAACCAGATCATTGACGAGGGGAGTTTATTCAACTAGACGAGGGTGGAGTCCAGCCACCTCCGACCCGGAAACGCAGATTTAGGTAAGGTCTTGCTGTGTACATCAGATTATGTAAATCCAAACCATAACCTTAACTTCCTCACATTTACTTTACATAGGTTCCCCTCACAACTGTTAATTATTACAAAGCTTAATAAACAATAATAATACATATAATCTAATAATGCAACCTACAGTTTAGCACAGCTATTTATCTCTGCCTGCCTGAACCAACATGCGAATGCGAAACCCGAAAATGAACTCACACCCATTGCTTACTGAGTAATACTAGAATTTAACCTCTCCCAACGCACATCATAAACACACTTCATATATAAAACAAGTTAGAACGGCCTAACTTAACTGGCACACAACAGTAACAGTGCCCGAGCCAGTGCCCCAATTGCAAACGGAGGCCTATACAGCCAATACCTGCAATGTTCGGGAAACTGCTGCCTATGGCAGACACTAAGGCACAAGTTCCAACAGCCCTCAAGGAGGATTCATTTACCCCCCGGTCTTTGCTCGCTTCATTCCAAGGCTGTTTTGGAAGGGGGATAAAGGGCCAGACATCGGAGACCCTTCCTCACGAAGGGTACCATTCAGCATTGCTAGCTCTCGCAGCTGTTGTTTCTTATAGAAATCCTGGGATTCATCCTATTTTCCAAAAATGAAATAAAAAAGTTAAGCAAAAGCATATACGAAATATTAATATTATCACAACACAAGGAAAATTTTACTAACCGTAGGCTTCAGCAAATCTTCAAGTATTTCCCGTGCTTGCATTAGGCGAGCATCAACTATTTCAACAGGTAATTCTGCCTCAACTAGGATATGAAGAGGTTCATTCAGATGTTCATACCCAGGTTTTCCTCTCATCATTTCCTCCTTCACATATTTTAAGTCATTTAAGTTTGTTTATCCATATTTTAAGTCATGCAATATTTCTCTTTCATCAAAATTTGTTAAATATGATTGCATATTTACCAAACTTATTTAATGAGCAATAATTAATTATAATGATGAAAGAAAAAGGATCATTACCCTAGCTGGATCCTTAATACTGCCCCGCCCTCTTATAAGGACACGGCACTCCGTATTGGCCTCCACGCGCTTAAGAGAGTTGCCCCTAGGACCAAGGAGGCGGCCAACAAAATTGTACTGCAAAATTAAATTCATTTAGACACTGGAAAGGATATGTTCTAAAATCACTGTGATGGCGAGTTCATTCATACGTTGGGATATTTGTCGACAGGAATATCCACTCTGATTGTTCTCTTAACAATAAGACCGGATGAGCTACCTTGAGAATTCAGCCAGTTCTCCGTCAAAGAGGGCTGAACTAAACCTGGCATCTGTACCATAATATTCAAGGTGCTGTTAAAATAAATAAATAACATGTTAACGATTAATGCAAATATCTTCCACTGTAAGAAGATACTGTTCTGGCAGAATATAAACATATGAGTAAAATCTGAGGTTCAAGGACTATGATGTCTAAAAGCAGCAACATATGGATTTCCAGATGAATAAGGCCCCTACTGACACAGTCAACCATCAACATATTGAGATACCATCAAAGCAGCACCTATGAAATAAAAGTAAGGTAGTCTTTGCACAAATATACAACAGGAAACTGAAATAATGGAAATCACTTTCTTTTCATTTTCTCTCTCTCTTTGTGCGTGTGTGTGTTCGGGGGGGGGGGGGGAGTAAGACAGTCAGCAATAAACACAGCGTTCAGAGACTAGCCCTCTTATCCAAACTCCTAACATGCACTGCATCACACTTAATCGACATTTCAGGCTTCCATCCTAAAAGAACTGAAGCTTAACACTATATAAGACTACAACTAACTATCATCCCCGGCATGTCTGATTTTATCTTGACAATGATAGAGACCCGAGAAACAGCCTGAAACATTTTCTAAAGATAAAATTATTTTCCAGGACTTCTTCATGTTAGCCTCAGTTTTCCTGTAAAAAGAGAAAGAACAACACAAGCTAGATTCCAAATAAAGGTTAGGTTAGCATGAAATGTCGTAAAGTATTAAGTCAGCAATACCTCTAAAAGCAGTAAAATTAGATGGTAAGGAGTTAGGTTAATGGTTAGTAGTCATACTTCTGATTGAAACCGTGATAACCATCTGTTCATATCAGCTCCTCCATTTGAAATCATTCCTCCAGAAGTCAGGGTGCTAGCTTGTTCAAGCCCACTTCGACCTAAAACTGATGCATTCCCCAACAGTGTAGTTATACGCAAAATTTCTGCTCCAAAAATGTCATTTTCAAGAATAAGATGTACCAGTTAGCGTTAAGAAATCAGTTAGCAGTCACCACAAAATGGAGAGACTATACGCAATGTTAATTTAGTCAGTTGAATACCAACTGTGGCTTCATGAATTAAGTTACTCTTCCAGCTGAGAAAGAAAAGAAATGAAAGATGCAATGAAATTTTATTTTAGTTTACTTTTGAATCAATAATAAATATTTTTACATTAATTTAAAAAGAGTTATTTCACCTACTATCCCACAGAATCATGGAGGAAACAAAGAAACTGTTAGTATCGGAAATAATAGAAGACAAAAGGAAAAAGAATACAACACACACAGAGGAAACAATAAAAGAAACACTATTTAATCCCTCCCACCAAATATTAGCACATTGTTGCAAGGTGACTTTTGTACAATAAAAGATAGGGAAAACAACCAACCATCTATCGTGGTTAGAAGCTGGTAACTAATGTCCCTCACAGCTAATGTAATCCCAAGATTTCTCAATTCCTCAAAAGACCTTGGGATCGTATGATGAATACCCCGCATAGACTTCTTCCTAAGATAAATATCAGCAAAATCACGAGCTTCCCCCTCAACTCTTTCTTCATATCCATTTTCTTCCTTCACCACTGTTAGTTTGGGTCAGAAACTTTTTCTTCTCTCTTTGTTCATATTCTATTTTCTCTCTTATTTATCACTGCAGCAGCAACCTATTCTATTTCCATTCCTTCCTAAGAAATGTCTAACCATCCATTGTTACATAGAAGGCCACTGAAATTCATGTAACAATTGCCATTTTTTTTTTTACAAACTAATGTAGAACCATAGTTTCTGTTGTATCATGATTGCTATACCCAAAATAAGTTGGAAAGAGTAAGCAAGTCTACCCATAGAGGGCTAAAAATGTACTCAGTCGGACCTCAATCATAATTCCACGGCATCTTAGTCATGGTTAGTTCTATAAAATATATTGTCGTACTCATGACATGAGCCACGATTCATTCACGTGTTTTACCAAAAGAATCAATTTTGACAGGAGATTTAGTAAAAAAGCTAGTGTTAGTGGGTCTTGATTACCATTTCCAATGAGTTACATAGCGAGTTAGTATTTGGCAATTAACCATTAGCCTTAAGTTGTTTTAGAGAGGACAAGGAGGGAGGGACATAGTGTGCACGATCCTTTGATAAGAAAAAGAAGATTGCTACTTAGAGGAACTCACCCTGGTTCAACAATCTACACGTATGAGGGATCACTGACATAAATGGAGTAAGCTTGTAACGCTCTTC